AAGGTAAGTAAGAAGGTAAAGTTAATTTTTAAAAAATTAAAGTAAAATAAGTTAATTAGATAAACAACAACTTTTTAGGTACTAAGAGTTACTAAGAATATATATATATATATATATATATATATATATATAGCTCAAAAGAATAGAGGGATTTGAAATACTGAAATGGAACTTGCCTTGCCAGCTAGTGGTTCACGGCTGTATGGAGGGTCCTGCTCAAAGAACTCAAAAAGTAAAGAGCCATTAGAATTGCAAACTTCACCAGCATCACTAGAAGACCCTTCTTGAGGATGAGGTTTCATATTTTTCTCTCTCATTGACGATCTCTCCATTGTAAGGGTGGACACACCACTTGAATTATGAAGGTTCCACTGCTCCTTAGCATACTTCAGTCCCCTTTCAACCTCAAAATCACTCCCTTCACTGCTTGTGTCCTTGTAAGAATCACCGTCACTCTCTTCACCAGGTTTCCTGCCATTGACAATTCCTACTTAGGAAATAGAAAGACCATATGTTCCAATTTAACCAGAAGAATTTCTTAGAAACATGAAAGTGCAATGTAACTGAAACCATCCAGCAAAGTCCAAGATGCCTGAATCTCAAAGATGCACAAGTAAACACTGATACAAACCTGTACACAAGAAGATAATGTCCCTCAATGACGTCATGACCCCTAAACTTAACATGGGAATGTGCAGCCTGTAATGGAACCTTAATACTTAACACCGCAGTCCACTAGCATAGGAACAAAGGAATACCTCAAGTGGAAATTCATTTTAATGAGTGCAAGAAGTTCTGGTGCCAAAGTTTTTTTCAAGACCACTAGGACCTCATAAGTCTACTGAGGTGGAAGTAAGAGCCCACTTGACTGAGTTGAGAGCATCATCCCAGCATCAGTTAAGACCTTAGCCACAACTAACCCATGATCTGGATATTAATAGAAAAGATTTTTATAAAGTTACCTAGAGTCTTTCTAAAAGAGAATTTATCACAATTTATCAGGAGTTTCATATATTGACTTAATATATTATTTCCATAAAATATTTCTTTAAAATGGTATATGTCAGTTTAAATTACACTTAAAAACATGAACATGTTAATCAGATCTTATGAAAAGTAAAATGTTATTTTATAAATGAACGTAGAATAATGTAATTTTAGGCAACTTACCCATTGCACACCTCAGTTTTTTAGGTAACTCATCTATCCATTACATGTTCCTATTTTAACAGTTTTAATGCATTCCTAGTTTGTTAGTTAGGGTGCCATTCTGGTTTTAGCAATACCAAGGCATTTTGATTTTACTAGGATATCTTAAAATGTTATAGCAATTTTAGAAATTTTCTTGATAAATCTTGGCAAAACCCCAACAGTGATAATTTTATTATGGACCAAGACTCGTAGTAGCTAACAGTGACTCGTAAGACGAGGCATTTATTCCTTAGAGATAGAGGCATGCCTCGGAGACCTTCATGATTAGCGACCCATTAATAATCATTTCATATCCACATGGGCCAGCAAGGTCACTGACTCCTATCCAGCGAAGTGCATAAGCAAGCAGCTAACCATAGGAAAAATCATCCAACTAAAAGCCACCCTACATTGCATCTTTTAAAATGTATATTACATGTATTTTTCATGCCACATGTATATTTCAATAGTAATAATAGTTGATTATCAGGAAACAGTAACTTAAGCTACATCTAATAAATTATAAGAAGACCTCTATATTAATTAACAACAAAAACTTCTAAAAATCAAAGTTCAGACTTCTGAAGAGCAACCTTTCATTGAACAAAAAAGGACTTTTGAAACTCATAATTCAGCTTACCTATGATCGCCATTCTAAAGGACACTTTCCACATTTGGTGTGCTTCTAAACAACTGTCTGCATTACCATGTTCAAATAAGATGCACACTAAGAGATTTAGCGTTTAGAGATTCCTCAGATGCCAAAATCTCTAGCAATCGTCTGCTACCGAGAATGGTGCTTCCGAGGCAACACAAAGGATGTCTGAGTCAAAAGATCCAGCAGATACAGTTGTAAAGAGCTCCCTAGAATTTCTGGCCTGGAAGTTATATTCCAAAACCTAGAATTTACATGCATATTAGCATGATAAAATTTGGATCTAAAATGCAATCCAGAAATGCTCAACAGTTCCTTCCCCCCGCTTGCCGATCCCCTATTCGCTTGACCTAAAACCATATGCCTTATCTTCTTTAGTTTGATTCGGTAATGACTGGGAATCTCTCATATCCTGTTCCCCACTGAACGAGCATTCAAGCATTCATTCCTGCCTTGATTCATCCGATGAACCAGCAGGGATTGATGAATCGGATAAGCCTCTATCGATCCTGGTGGTGGGGTGGTAGACTCTGAGGCTCATTCGTATCCCATGAATTGGAGATACTTAGTAGATTGATGGATACTTGTGGTACCAATGATGGGGGAAGGAATCAATGAATGCAAAGGAAGATTCCCCCATTCAACAAATACTAAACAGGCATACAATTTAGAAAATAGAGGCTTTAAGAGATGTGCCACATACACACTACCAGAGTTTCCCTTAATGAAATGGCCAATATGCCTTCAAATTATTCAATTCAAAGTGCACACTAGCCCGCTACCAACAGTTTCACTGCTATATGGAAATCCATAACAGCTGAGGGCCCAAAATTGCACCATTTCAAAACATTGGGTGCCTACCAAACGGTAAAAAACTGCTCCCATGTAACACAAGTTTGCGACGTGTTTTTCCTGGCCCTATAACATGCCATCCAACATGCAAAAACCCTACTTCTGTGGACTGCTTAAAATCATTAAAAAAAAAAATTCCAAGTGGCCTGCTTTTTACCATGCAGCTTCCCTCTTATCTCTTTCTCTGCCTTCAGTGCCATCTTTGGCAGCATAAAATAAAGTAATCTCAAAGCTATAAAGTGAGGCATTTAAATGTGTGGGACCATAGTCATGATGATTTCTCCATTAAAAATGCCAGGAAAAGGTCCTATCCGAAGCCCATGCATAACTCACATGGATTCACCTTGCTCGACATATCAACAAGTGGGTCAGTGATGCTCATGCCAACACAGTGTTCAAAAGTATCAAGAAACTTTGTCATTGTTTTACCAAATACAAGCAACCCAGTTGGTTTTGCGATGTTGTAGAGTTGACAACGCATGCTTACCCAAAGTAAACTCGCAGAAGCATGCTAGCAATGTTGCCAAAAATATTTCCAAATGGTCAACGTGACATATATAATACCTCTATGTTATCAAATGGTGTTCCATTTTGGCACGTGGGACTAAATCACTACCAGGGTTTTTTTATTGATTAAAAAGGTAATTTTTTTAATATCCATTAAAATACAGAACAAGGCATGTGTTCAAAGACGAAGCTTTCAGGCAGGACTCACATATGACAAAAGGAAAATAGAGACAGTATTTGGAGGCTTATTATGGCTATGGAAGCACCTAATTGAGCGGAGCCTAAAGAGAAGATGAACTAAGCACTTATCACATTAAGTGCTTATCGCATCCAAAATGGACTATCTTATGAATCATCGGCATCACTAGAGAATGCTAATTCTCATACCTCCATACATCACAGTATAACAGTGCATTAACCAGTAATCTAATATCTTCTTGCTATGCACCAGTGCAGGAAGAACTCTTATGATATAACTGGCTGATGCAAACATGAACTGTTCAGCAAACAATATAGCACATAGGCTTTATGCTTTCTTAAGTAGTTCAAGAAAAGTAGGCAATGCAATGAAGTAAATATTGGTGAAAACATAAACTGTTCAGCAAACAATATAGCACGTAGGCTTTATGATTTCTTAAAAAGTTCAAGAAAAGTAGGCAATGCAATGAAGTAAATATCCACCACAGCAATAAAAAAGTACCAATTAACTACAAACGGTCTGTTCACAAAACCCTGGTTAGGCAAGAAAACTGCCAACTATTCAAGAACATCCATAGTTAACATGCCATCTTTACACCCAGATACATGACAAACTGAATGATACACCCACGACAATTTGCTCATTAAAGCTCACAAAAAAAATAATAACAAACAAACAACTAACAATACGAATCAGCTTCACTAGGCCAGAGTTAGGGACTACAAATTTCATCAATATCTGAACCCTCAAGCAAGCTGAAGCATATATTTGTACCAAAACCAAAGGACAAAGAAAAAAATATGATAAATTATACCTAGAGGTGACGGGATTCTTTGCAGATTCCGCATAGATTTGGATGCCAGACAAATAAGGTACATAATACTGAACAACTCCATCAGTGCCATTAAGAACAAGAGGCACACCAGCACCATATGCACTCCACTCCTTGAAAGACTCCCATAGATCCCCAAGAGAAAAATAGGGTTGGAACTCTATATTGCTTGTTCTCCACCCTCTCATAACTGCCTGTAATAATCACAAATACTATCACAGTGAGTTAAATAATTCTCAAAAATATTGCTAAAAATAATAATAATCAATGTACAGCTGTAGCAACCATTACATTAATAACCAAATTTAGTAAATAAAACAAAACGACACAGGACATCGAAAATATTAACTGGTCGACAGAATAAGAAGAAAATACAAAACATAACGACAAACATGATAAATAGAATACTTGCATGGAAAGCACAATTCGAAAAGAACAACCGAACACAACAGTTGGTGTAACAAAATCCATGCCAAGTGGCAATTGAATCTAAAAAATAATGAACAAACGGTATTTCCAGTGGTTAGGATGACAAATCCATGCTGAGTTGCCCAATTCCCAAAACGAATCAAGAGTATCTGAAAAAGCGACATATTTTTAAAATTAGAAAGCAATTCAGCACGTATCATTTTTCAACATATTATACACTACAAAAGAGAGCTTCACAAGATTGTTCACAAAAAAAATTTCAAAATAGAACATTGTCAATCCAAGTAGAGTATTGCCCTTGTTTTATGTGAAGTTTTACCTGAGTATGCATTTTGAAAAGCCAGTTCTACACACTGGTTAAATGAAAATCCCATAAAATATACAAAAACATATCGGTACCTTCTCTTCATGAGAACAACATGACTGCCACAAATATTTCCAAAAGAAGGAAGAAAAGGAAATGATAACATGAAGAAAAAAATAGACCATACAAAGATGAAACAAAAACAGCCAGTTGAGCTACCATCTTTTCACTTTTTCTCTTTTTTGGCAAAATTTAAGAGAGTTCTTCATCAAGAAATCAGGTTGGATATTTGGATGAGTATGAGAGTGCCCATTCATGGAAAGCATTCCATGCATGGTAAAAATTATTTTCCAGAACATTTAGTCTCTTTACCATTTTAAAAAAAGGGGGAAGATATCATCACCAGACATTTCTTCAATGAAAATGCAAGAAAAATGAAGTGCCATACAAAGTCAGATCTTATGCAAGCATCTCTTATGGTAAATTCACAGAGCTTTGCGCGTCTGTACCTTATCAAATGCAAATTTAATTCCAATACAAAGAATAGGCTTTCATCAAGGTAACAAACAGTTATCAAACAAGAATAGCCTTATACGATCCTCAGAAAGCAATTGCATAAATTCCAAAAGGATATGTTTAAAAACTAAAATAATGCACCAAGCACATAACCAAGATAGACACACCATACAGCTGCCATTGAGCTAAGCACAACGAATAAAACAACAAAAAAGATACATGCCGAAGATGACAGAGAAATCAAAAGACCATTTTTGTCAAATTTTAAAAATGCAAAAGTAGAAGGAAATATTTTCTAATAGTAATGTAGTTACTTCCAAACAAATTTTAAAAATTAATTTTCGTCAAAAGATCCCAGAGAAATTCACAGAACTGCCTATAGTTCACTAAATTCAAAATTAAAATGAGTATTAAAAGTAAAGAAATGGAAATTTTCGAAGCACAATAAGGATTGCATGATAGAAACCCAAGCATCAACATGCACTCAGTGTCTGAAAGGTAACCAGAACAAGTAATCTAGTATAGGTATTCAATCCCTTTCTACTGCTCCACAGATCCTGCAAAGCTATACTAGAATAAGATCAAGGTAAAAATTAAAGGCAAAGGAAGTGACTTACTTAACATGCACAGAGTGAAGAGAATACCACTAAAAAGATAGAAAAAAAATACAACTAACAATCTAAATTCCAAGTCAGTGAGAATCAATCACCATTAAGCATTGTAATTAATTAATTAAGATGTTGAAATGCATATCATTAACTACAAAAAAATAATAAAGAATTAAAACAAAATGCTTCAAAAGAATGCAAATGAACTTATATTACAGATAACATAGAAATTTACTGGTAATGTCAAAGTGATGTGCATTGTTCACAATTTAAAAACAGAAGAGGAAGGATATCCAAATAACTGACTAAAAATTATTGACTGAGCTAAATGTCTTTCCATTTTAAATAATTATAATAATAATAATAATAATAATAATAATAATAATAACAATAACAGTAACGATAATAATAATAATAATAATAATAATAATAATAATAATAATAATAATAACAATAATAATAATAATAATAATAACAATAATAATAATAATAATAATAATAATAATAATAATAATAATAATAATAATAACAATAATAACAATAATAACAATAATAATAACAATAAGAGTAACAATAATAATAACAATAATAATAATAACAACAATAATAATAATAACAACAACAATATAATAATAATAATAGTAATAATAATAATAATAATAATAACATTAACAATAACAATCATAATATTAATATTAATATTAATATTAATAAATAAAGAATAATTAACAATAAAAGTCGAGTAACAATTATTGAGAAAAAACATGCACAGAAAAATGAATAATTGAGTGTAACTCTCACTGGTAAGGACAAGACAACGACAGCCACATTTTCTTAAATATCAAATGAATAATGCCCACATTTTTAAAATTTTAAAAACTAAATAAAAAGGGAATGGAGTAAACCTCTCATTCATCAAAAACATTTTCTTTATGCTCCTTCATTCATCAAACACTCCAAGTCTAGAAGAAAATAAGGGAGAAAACAAATATTAGCCACATTTGTTTTAACTAAATATGAACTATTTAAAAAAAGCAAGCTAAAGTAAGCTTGATCCTAAACCTCTCGTCCATCAAAAGCCACAGGGTAAGATCAAAGTAAAGAACAAGAAAAAAAGTGAGCGAAATTCGAAATTAAAACCAGTAAAAAAGCCAAACACCTCAAAATTCTCCTTTTTCATTTTAAACACTCCAAAAGACCAGAAACGAGGAAGAAACGATCCCAATCCATGAAGAAAGCACATGCAGAGCCAAAAATGCTCCCTCATTGAAAAAATTCCACTAAAAAAACACATGCATGCATGAATAAAAAAATCAAATTGTTCCATTTTTAAATGCAATTACTCCATTTTTTATGTATAGTTGCTTAATCAACCTTGGATACGAATTGAGCTCGAACATAAGGAGTAGTTGACTCCAAGAACCGATCCAGGTTTCCACAACCCGATCTAAATGCCAAGGAAGAAGGCACAGGCCTTATGCAATCCTCAAAAACAGTTCTATTTTCCATTAATTTGTTTTCAGGAAACCGGTTCTCGGGAAAGTGGTTTTTGGGTAAGTGCTTTTCAGGTAAGCAGTTTTCAGGTAAGTGATTTTCCTTTGCCCTGGGCGGAATCTCATACTGAAATTGAACTTGACGCCTAGCTTTAGCAGGATTATTAAACGTATTGTCGCCATTAACCCTAGAAAACTGTAAGGTTGATCCCAACATATCGGCGAGCTCTAGGAGAAAGCTCGTTTCAGTAGAGGGGAAAGCTAGACACTAACTAACCCTAATTATAGGTTTATAGTAAAACTTGAAAGGTTTTGGCCGGAAATTGTGATTGCGACAGGAATTGATTTTCCGGCGCGGACGAGCAAAACAGTGAATGGGAAGGGGAGAGACAGTGTGAGGGTGAGGAAGCGCATGGACAACAAAGAGAGTGACAAGTTAATATAAAGCGTAGTTGGTTAGCTTTACCATTATGTTTGGTTAAGTTAAAAAGGTCCGTTTTGCCCTCAATGACGAAAATACCCCATCTTTAATTCTTACAAGATTTTGATACCGGAAATGCCTCTCCTTGCTAAGTTGGGGCATTGTAACGGTCCAGTATTTGGAGCCATGCGGGAAACAAATTTACAATCCCATTGATGTCCTGTGCATGCCTTTGTATAGGGAGCGCATTTACTATAATACCCCAAACTTTGTCAGCGAGTTTTTAGGTCCTTCTCTGTATTGTGAGGGAATATCGCACAAAGTGGCACCTAGAAATGATAATAACAATAAATGATTATATTTCCACCAATTTATTTGATGTTTCCACCCATGCTTTTTGGGTGGGACTACCAAAAATATGGGTGAAATGTTTGAGCGTGAAAAATAAGAGGATAAGGATTACAGCTTTTACTTAAATTGCGGTCACAGGGGCATAATAGAGATTATCCGTACTCATTTGGGGATATATCCGGGTTTTTTAAATTCCATAGGGGTAATATCGACCTTTGCGGGGTTAAAACCCTGATTCGACGTTTGGATTCATCCGACAACACGAGTGGCAAATGGGGGAGCAGAGTGTGGAGCCCATAGCGCCATCACCGTCGATTCTTGACAATGAACGGCAGAGATGGTCTGAGGTTCTGACAGCAAGTGTAGCAGCTCATCTCCGCCGTCTGTTTATGAGGCGAACAGTGCATGAACGATAGTTGTCTCCATACTATACACGCAACGTGTATGATACTTATTGCCATTGTAAATATCGATTTCAGGGATAATCTACCCTATGAAAGTTTCGCTATATCCACAGTGGACAGTACACGTGGACATGAGATTTCTTGGGAAAATGGCGTGTTATATTCGTTTTTAAATGATAAAGCCTAAAACATCGTTAAAAACTCGGATGGACAATAGGAAATGTACATGCATGTGAAATAATTACATACAAAAGATTTTTGGAATTCAGTAGGCGTTGCAGTAATGTTAAACCATGTCATCAAATCATATTTGTAAGGAAAATGGTTTGATAGGGCCGCAGCCCTGTCAAAATACGTAAAGCCGTCATAACTCATCGAAAATTGTAATTCAAGCACTGGAAAAACCTTTACGTTGATCATCTTGGCTTGAACATTACGATTGTAGAAAAAATTTAAGATTTGGTACTCTAAAAATAGTGTATATTGCAACTAGTTATCTACGTCTTTTATTTTACCCTAAAAATAAATGTTCATAGATTTACAAGATCTTTATCATTTTTTGAGTCTCAAAATTTATTGTCGGTATTGAAAATTGAATTTAAAGCCATCATGGAGATTTTCAGTGTCGAAAGTGCTTTTCGGACAGGGATTTGAGGTGAGGCTTTATTTTATTTTCATAAAGTCCAGATCTTATAGAACCTCATCGTAGTTTCAAAGAATACTTATTGAGCTAATCTTAATTTTTTTTGGCTTTTTTTGAGTTGTAATGTTGTGTTATAAACTAAAATCATAAAATCATCATCATCAGAGCCTTATCAGAACAATTTGGAGTCACCTATACGAATCTTGTTTCACCATTCTACTCTATCAAAACTCATACCCTCGGCAAGACCATAATTCCGTATATCTTTTTCCATTATATCAATCTATGTCCTATTGTGCCTTCTCCTCGTCTTTCTAGAACCTTCCACTCAACCAAATCATACCTCTTGACCAATCTTATATTGGTTCATTGTATTAGTTCTATGTTATACATAGCCAACCTATCTTACTCTACTTTCCCTCATCTTATTATCTATTGGTGTGTCCCCCTTAAATTCCTTCATTCTGAATGCGATCATTTCTTTTTTTGCCACTAAAACTCAAGTACTACATAATTTTGAGAAAGGGTTACTTTCATATGTATTAGTACATTTCTTATATACTTCTCCTACAGTATATAAGAACTATCCTCCCCCTACTATCCAACCATCCAAGAGAGCCATTCACCGTTTGATCTTAAATCCGACATCTCAAAATATTTTATTTTTAGTTTTTTTTATAAAAATTGTATGAATATGAAATTTGGTACGTGTCATCTTCTCATTGGGGCTCACCTATAAAAAATATTAAAAGTAAATTTTCGATAAAATATAATAACCAAAATACCCCTTAAAACTTTTAAGGATATTTTGATCATTTTATTTCATTGGAAATATTTTTTTTTTATATTTTTTGCTAGTACGAGTTTAATAAAGGATTGGAAGTCCAAAATTTGGTCTCAAAATAGTTTATGAAAAAAAATTAAAAATAAAATAGTGTATAGACGTGACATTGTGATTGGGGTAATCTTCTAATCTTAACCCTCCACTCAAAATGGATGGTTGGATAAGGGGAAACATATAAGTTTTATACTGTAAGAGAAGCATAGAAAGCTAGCCTTTCTTTCAATTCTAGTCTTAGTTACTGAAGAATCTAGAAATATTTTATCATTCACTAAATAATTCGCATGCTAGTAACAGTCCATGAAAGTTAATTAGTAATTAATGAGAAATAAAAGAAAAACTGGAATTATTGGAACTTTTTAGAGAGAGAGAGCAGGGCAACGCGTGTTCATTCACTGGAGCGAGTCTTTTCCTTCCTCTTTCCATATTTGGCATGGAAAATCAAAGAACCTAAAAAGTGATTTCATCAATAAATTTGTACATAAATACTAATGAGAAATTCTGAATTTTAGTTTTAAATGTGATGTAACATCATATGAGAAGTTAGTCAATAACAGCAAAGCAAAAAAATATTGGCCAACAATTTGAATTCATTGTTTTAATAAATATTATGTTTATTAATGGTTATTTTCTAACATTTACCTATACCAAGCATGGACAAACATCATTAGTCTCGCCCATTAATAACATGCTTATAAATGATTATTTTCTAAGATTTACACATAAGAAGGATGGGCAAACATAATGAGCCTTGACTATTAATAACATGTTTATTAATGGTGATTTTCTAATATTTTCAGCCTTTTAAGGTTACAAAAAGTGTTGTTCTCCCTCTCTCTCAAAGATCAAAATGTTGATACTTTTATGAAAATAATTTATCAAAAAATAGGGTGGCAATAAAAGAAAACATTTATATAAAGGTGAGGCTCTAAACAATCAAATCAAGCCACACATCCAAAAATCACTAGAATAGGTTGTTTCGATGCTTAAAAATCCTCAAAAAATCAATCATCTTTGACCTGGATATGAAAAATAATGGATTTCAAACCTTGAAAATAATGAATCTTTTAATATATTTTTTGAACTATCAATTTTTAAGATTATCAAGTGTTGATATATCTATTTGATCTACACTATTTTTAAAATTTTAAATTTTATAATTAGATATAAAAATAAATTTTTAAGCCATCCTAAAATTCTTTATCACTTAACCAATACTATTTGATGGTGCATCTTACTTTTGATTTTTTATCACCTTGGCCTTAGACAAACCACACATGTAATAAGTAGCCGTAGGCGTGTGACTACTGATTATAAAGATTGCGACACGTCAGCAAAACAGATTGCATAGTGAAAGAGACCGTCCGCGTCATCAGAAAGGGCCCACAGTTTGAATGGGTGAGCTAAATATAAGACTGCCACGTCACACATTTTAAAAATATATATATCCACGTGTACCCCTTCGAAAATTGAACAAATGGATATCCGAGTCGTAAAGGATGTTCGAAACAACTGGACGGTACCCATGTCTTTATTGGAATGATGAAATGACCCAAAAATTCAACCGACGGTTGAGATGGCGAGCACCCCCACCAAGGGAACTACGAGCCTTGTTTAGAAAAGGACCTTATATTGGTTCCAAAATCCAAGCTTTTTTTTTCTTCTTTTTTTTTTCTCTTTTTTTTTTTTTCAGGTAATTCAGTGTGGAAGACAAAGTCCCTACCTGTTTTTTCAAGTAGATTAACGGTTTATATTGAAAACGCTTTTGCCGAACTTTCTATACGTAGGCCAAGCCCGCACATGTAAAAATGCTGAGTCCTTCAATAAATCTATTTTTGAGATGATTTTTTGACTAGTTTTTAAGAATATGTAATATCTAACATGGAGATCGTGAATACAAAAAAATAATAAATTTTTAAAAATAAAAATAATAATTTTATTAAAAAAACATTTAAACCGTTAGTTTCAATTGTTTTCAGATGGACCATATATTTGCATCCATCTTTAAGATGGATGCTTTATACTTCTGGAACGCATATGCAGAAATGCGATCCAACCCACATGAACCAATTTTCCATCATAAATTTGTTGGTCCTTTCTTTTGCACCAACCATCCAATTTAATGTCATACAAGGTGGTCCCATTTAATGTCATCCAATTTATAGTATAGATGTATACAACCATCGATCAATGTATAGAATGAGATCATTTACCTGTCATACAAGGTGGTCCCAATTAATCTTGACCATTGGATGTGAAATTGGGTGATTGCATTTATTCTATTGACCAAACTCAAACTTCAAAAAAAAATTTCTCAAACTCTCTGACACACCCGAACTATTAAATTTTTAGTTGTAAGTAATTGTGACTACTCTACAATCCCATACTTTAGGGCATCTTGGACGAGTGCCCCAAAAAAAAAAATTCACATTAAGGTTGGTTCAACTTTTGGAGGACCGCACCAACTTTGGCTCCAAGAATTTTTCTCAAGGTCAAATTGGCCTTAAACTTCAATTTTTTTTGGTAGTTCATGAGTGGCAATTTCATCCAAAATTACCTAAATAATTCACCCAAAGGTTAATAGGAAGAAAAAAAAGTAACGAGGTTTATAGTGTGAAAAAAAAGTATTCAAGGGGTCTATTTATAGAAACAGTCAAGGGAGGGTGCTTTATATAAATTTATTTATTTAATTTTTCCCTTTCTCAATACAAAAAATTTCTAAAGAACCAGGAACTCAGATTGAA